TAGAGAATAGAGAGAGACGGGGGGTAGTCGACCCGTCTCCACTGCACAAAGCGGTATAATGCAATAATCTCACCTGGGCAGGTAGGAGCCATCAATGTTGTGACTGTGGAACACCTGCACGTACATGGGCAAGTCCACATCCTGGGCCAGCCACTCCACCACATCATCCACTGTCCAGTTGTACACTGAAACAACAAGACACATTGGTCAACACACATGTCATTGATTGACACATAAGACACATTCGTACATAGGCCAACCATGTTCAGTTGTACACTGAAACCACAAGACACATCGGTCATTTGTTCGAGTTTGAGTAAAGAGAAGCACATCGACACAATAATTGTCATTTAGTGCCGGGAAAAAGTAAGAAAGACAAACAGAAACAACAGAGGGGAAAGTAAAGAAGTAGGACTACCAGTGGCGCCCTCCACCCACCCACACACATCGGCCAACACACCTGTCATTGATCGACACAAAAAGACACATTCGTACATAGGCCAACCATGTCCAGGTGTACACTGAAACCACAAGACACATATCACTGAAACCACAGAACACATATAACTGACACAATAAGACACATTGGTGAACACACATATCATTGACTGACATAATAAGACACATTCGCACATAGGCCAACTACTACACCGGACTGCGTTGTCCACTGTCCAGTTGTACACTGAAAGTGAAACCACAAGACACGTTGATTGATTGACACAATAAGAAACACTGGTGAACGCATATATATAATTGATTAACCTAATAAGACACATTCGTACATGGGCCAGCCACTCCACCACGTCATCCACTGTCCAGTTGTACACCGAAACCACAAGACACATTGGTGAAAAAACATATCATTGATTGACACAATAAGACACATTGGTGGACACAATCATATTATTGATTGACACAATAGGACACATTGGTGAACACACATATCATTGATTGACACAATAAGGCACATTGGTGAGCGCACATATTTCATTGACTGACACAATAAGACACATACGTACATAGGCCAACCACCCCACTACGCCGTCATCCACTGCCCAGTTGTACACACTGAGACCACAAGACAAAATGGTGTACATTGGTGTGTGTGTGTGTGTGTGTGTGTGTGTGTGTGTGTGTGTGTGTGTGTGTGTGTGTGTGTGTGTGTGTGTGTTTGCACGTGCGTGTGTCCCACTGAGCAGTTGTTTCTCTACCTCCGTGTCCATCTCTTTAACCTTGACCGTAAGCCAGGAAAGGTATGTAATTAAACAGACCCCCTCCCACCCCCACCTCCACCCTCACTTACACATGTCAATTAGACGATTATGTGCCAAGTGTCCTTACCATAATACTTGGTAACAGTCACTCTCATTTAGGTTTGCCCTCCCAGCTCCACCCCTCCCTCCCCCTTTTCCACACCCATAGAACTACGCGTACACACAAAAACGCTCTTTGTGCTGTTGAGGCTAGAGAGGTGAGCAGAGTAAGCCTGATTCCCCCGTATGGACTTTTCTGTTGACATCCACCAATTGACGCTTATATTATGACCTTCTGCAGTTGCAAGCGCCGTCAAACCTTACTAAAACAAATACAAGAACGCAAGCGCGTACGCTCAAATACACATAGAAAGACACCCTCCCTCCACACACCCCCTCTCCCCCCCACACAC